AGCAAAACACATCATGAAAATATTACCAGGACCAAAAGTTACTGCTAAAAATACAAATTAGGAAATAGACACATTCCGCTTGTTTATTACTGATTAAATGATTGAAGAAATCGTAATGAATACCAACATATATATTTAGAAAAAAGGGATGAAGTCAAGTATGCAAGATACAGAGACTGCAATGATACCACCAAAACAGAAATAAAAGCCCTTTTTGGAGCATTGTATTTGATTGGTAAAATAAAAGGAGTCACACTAATTGCTGTGAGCTCTGGTCTTACGCTGGTACAGGAATGATCCTTTTACTACAGGGCCTTTTCATTTATAAATGTTTTTGGTTTTTGCTTCAAATACTTAGGTTTGACAACTTAGAAACCAGGAATGAACAAAAAATAACTGATAAGCTTGCACTTGCACCAATTTGAGAATTACATCAAGAGTTTGTCAACAATTGTATATGCAGTTTTAATGTGAATGAGTGAGTTTGTGACAATTGACAAGAAGCTTCATCCATTTAGAAGATGCTGTGGCTTTGTACAATACATTCCTAGTAAGCCTATGAAATACGGCATAAAAATATATTCTCTATGTAATACTAAAACCTTTTATATTCTTAACTTTGAGATTTGGTGTTATGGTAGAAGCATCAGAAAAATCTTTGAAGATCTGGTTTGCTTTGTCACACAATTAAAATGGCATCAACATATATCTATTGTATAAAATGTTTACCTTATGTGTCACTTTTTCTTATTTGACTATGGAGATGTTACGTACAAGTTGGGTATACCCATGGATAAATCCTCTCAGGGACATTGTTTGTAATGTGGTTGGAAAACTTGAGAATGAGATCCCATCTTGTTTCAAGACCTAATTATTTTATACAACAGATATGTCAATGACATTTTAATTGTGTGTAAAAGCAAACTTGTCTTAACCTATTTGATGTTGAAATTTTTATTTGTTGCCTGTGACGCCATGTTGAATTTTCGTCGATGTTAAGCCTAAATTTTTTGTTTTTTAAATAATAATCGTGTTTGCTGTATTGTAAAAAATTATTTTTTTATGTTTCATAAACAAAATAAATATATTGAATAATATAGAAACAAAAAAATTATATTTTAAAAGTTTGTTTTAATATAAAAATTGTGATGCATAGTGACATCTAGTATCAAAACGAAAACACGAAAATATTCGGGATCGCCCATGCAGGTCAATGAGGTCAACATGAATATTTTTTGGGAACAATGTAGGACAGGTTAAAGGATTAATGGTTTCATAATATATGTAAAATTGAACACAAATATTTGGAAATTGTAACTATTAACATATTAGTTGTCTATCTTGTAGGAGTTTTGTGAGTTCAAGATCTGCTCTAGATTATTTGTTTAATTAAAAGACACTGCAAAACTGGACGAAATTACAAAAAAAGCACACACTAATAACTGAAACCCAATTCAAATGAACCAACTTATTGTAAGAACAATGTTTTGAACTGTTGTTAACAGCCATTATTTTAATTTTTTTTTACCATTTTTTTGTGCATACAGCCACCAGCACAAATTTAAAGAGTTCCATTTAATTTAAATTCTTTTCTTTATATATAATATTTATTCAACTGGCATTAAGTTATAGAATTGTAAGATTCTATAACTTAATGTCAATTGAAAATGTTTTTTATAAAAAATTAGCATCTTTTTAAAAATATAAACATCTATAAGCTTGATAGTTATATTAAAGCCAAATGATTGCCAGATTAAACTGCTTTCTTTTAACTGGATTTTATTTATTAGCAGTGGCATGCAGTGACATTTGATGATAGGGAAACTGTGCTGGCCCTGGATAGAATCATTGGAAGCATCATATAATGGTTTGGTCTGTAGCATCTGTGTGAGGTTGGTGCTCTGTAAAGTGCATGCGCAAATGCATGTAATCTGGCTGCTTTACACCATTCAAATATTTTCACTATGGAAGCTGTTCCATATTTAACAATACGGTGCTTCCATTGGGAATATGTATATACAAATTTATGTTTGAATATACAATAGTAATCTTATCATTGTTTTTTACATTTAGTATAGAAATTTGTAATAAGATACATAATGCAATTATAATAAAATATTAATTTAAATTAATTCAAAGTATGTTAAAATATGAAAATAATCGCACAATACATATTTATATTTTATAAAATACAAGGGAAATTTGCTTCCACAGCTTCCATGGATGGCACGCCACTGGGTATTAGATTGTTTATTAACTTCAGACATTTTTAAATTAATTAAATTCAATTAAAACTAAATTTATAAAAAATAGTGACATTTCTTTTTCTTTCACTTTTCTTCAGGTCAAATTACACTTATAAATTAATAAATAAAAAACAATATACTAAGACAATAAACACACCTTTTCATACTTTTCCAGCAATTAAATTTAATCAAAACCAATTTTTGTTTTGATTAAATTTAATATGAAGCTAAAAATAGCAGTATTTGTTGGATATAATCACTTATTTTGATAACCATTGAAAAGGGGTTTTGGATGAATAAAATGAATTTGTTACGTTCTTAAAATCTAACATTCACTCGAGATCATGAATGATTGTTGCTTTCAATTGAAGTATTGAGGGAAAAAAGAAAAACAGTGTAATGCTGTTGTTTACCTTTATTGAGGAAGGATCAGCAAAAGCTCCAATCTGAAATGCATGCAAATGAAAGATCTAGAAATTAAATTTGTCTTCTGGATGATTCTTGGCCTCAAGTGAGTGTTGGATTTGAAGGACATAACAAATTGTTATATTCATCCAAAACTCCTTTTCAGTGGTTATCAAAATAAGTATTTAGATTTAGTTTCTGGAAAAGCAATGAAAGGTGTGTTTAGTGTTTGATATACTGATGAAGTTCCAGCTTTCACTATTATTGAAAAAATATATATATCTTGTTCTAACAATGATAGAATTATTTACAAATCAACCTTTATGTAATATAAAGTTGTTCTGCTATGAATAAGGGTGTCATATTAAATTTTTTGATTTATAAGAAATTATTAGAATGGTGTTGATAGAAGTATTAATAAGTTATGGATTTTTATTCTTAAAAATTCTAATGAATTTAATTTCAATAAACAGAAAAACAAAATGTCTTATTAAATAAAGCAATATGAGTTTTGATTATTACTTGGCTTTTAATTTCTCTTGATCTGGAAAAAGGATCTTGACAAATATGAAAATGTGATTGTTAATTAGCTTTGTTTTTTCCTTTCCATTCTGTTTCATTTAAGGCATAAAGAATATAGATGAAATATAAATGTACTTTTAAATTTAAACTGTAAATTTTTCAAAAAATTTGAATGTTGTATGACTTGTTCATGATGAAATTGTATGTTGATTTTAACCTAAGTTAGAATTTTTATGTTAAATATGATTAAAATTATGAAAATTCAGATATAATAGTGCATTGTGTTACAGATTATTGCTGTTTTACACATTCATTAATATGTTAAATTCCACTGAATAATTAGATATTCAGATCTAAGAAACTTATCAGGTTTTTATTTTATATTGGGTTGTTTGGAAAGCTGTAGCGATTTTTGATAGCCAACAGTTGAGACACTGATTGACGTGAAAATGATTAGAATTGTACAATTACAAAAAAGTTAAGATTATTCAAATATTGTTTAATTTGTCTCATTTGCAAAAATGGATGCAAACAACGTGCATTATTGACACTTGTTTCTGTTTTTTATCATAAAGGCAAAAATGATGTACAAACAGTAAAAAAAATATGTGATGTTTATGGTGGGAGTGCTGTAGCAGAATCAACTGTTGAAAGTGGTTTGCAAAATTTAAAGCAGGTAATTTCAGCCTTGAAGATGTTCCCCGCTCAGGAAGACCTCCCGTTATTGAAGAGGACCAGATCAAAGCATTATTGGATGAAAACCCTCATTACACAACTCTAGAGATTGCAGACATAGTGAAGCCATTAAACAGTACTGTATTTCAACATCTAAAGAAGCTTGGATACGTGAATCATTATGACTTTAGGATACCTCACGACTTAATGGAAAAGAAATTATTGGATTGCATCTCCATTTGTGATTCTCTTGAAAGATGAAATGAAAATGACCCTTTTCTGAAGCGTTTAGTGACAGGTGGATTGTTTATAACAACATCAGCTGATAATGATTACGGGGTAAGAAAAATGAACCACCATTAAAAATGCCAAAGGCCGGTTTCATCTAAAGAAGGTCATGCTCACCTTCTGATGGGATTGGAAAGGAATCCTGTACTACAAGCTGCTTCCACAGAATCAAACAATTGATTCTGATAAGTATTATTTCCAATTGGATAAACTGAACATGGCAATTAAAGAAAACATTTAGAACTGGCCAATAGAAAAAGCATTGTGTTTCACCAAGATAATGCCAGACTGAAAACATTTTTACAAACATGCCAAAAATTATTGGAACTAGGCTGGGATGTTTTACCTCATCCCCATCTCACTCGATCTTGTCCCGTCAGATTACCATTTGTTTCGTTTTGTGCAAAATTCCCTCCATGATAAAATGACACTTTGGAAGCTTGCAAAAACCACATGGATCAGTTTTTGCAGGAAAAGCTGGAAAGTTCTATGAAGAGGGTATTATGAAGCTCCCCCATAGATGGCAACATGTCATTAAAAACAGTGGCTCATATGTAATGGAATAAAAGTATATTTTTAGTTTTAAAACAGTTTTTTTTTTTTTATTTCTCTTAAAAATCGCTATGAACTTTCCAAACAAACTAATGTATAAACTTGTAGATTTTAATGCATAAAATAGTTCTTAATAGTTGGAAAATTTAATATACCAAATGCTACTTTGAAATGCTCAAGAATATTTGAATAAGATCAGTTAATATGAAATTCATTTTTTGGTAAATTATAATAATTGTTTGCTAGTGTCTTAAATGTTTTAAAATAATTTTATTAAAAACACTGTTAATTTTTACATATTTATTTTTTAAGGACGCCGACAGGAACCTGGTTGTTATCCATCAACAAAAAATTTATCGACTGTAACGGAACAATCTAAACAATATTCACAGTTAGAACAAACAGAAGGTAACCAATTTTGTTGAATACAATAAAACATTAAGCATTAATGTGGTTCATCTTTTGAAAATTTGTTTATTTTTTGGAAATTTTATCATTTGTCTGTTTGCATTTTATGGAAGAATTTATGATTTAAAACAAGAATAATTACTCTGTAATCCAACTTTTACTTTACAGTAAAAAACAGACTGAAAAGTAAAAGCTGTACTTTTTACTTATCAGAAATTTTTAAAAATTATCTTACTTTGTCAACAGCTGGTTTTTTCTAAAACAAATGGATAATATAGTAGAATAACTTATTTTGAGATATTATTACTATATCTAAAACAGTGTAGGAATAAGATATTGATAATTAAAAAATTATGTTTATTATTATTTAAAAAATTCAAATAGGATGCAATTTTATATCAGCTTACGATGTAGGTAAAATATAAATTAATAAATAAACATTAGCAAACAAAATGTTCAGAAAAAGCCTCAATTTTTTTTTTAAAAAGGGTTTTGCTGAACCTATAGTTTATTTTGCTAATTTGTTTATTTATTTAATAATTTGTTAAATTGAGTTGTATGATATGTAAATGTGTGTAAAAAATAAGAACAGTTTTTCTGTTTCTGTAAGTGCATTTAGTAATAAGCATATATTCTTATGATGTAGAATAATTTGTTTATTCAACTCTTTCTAATATTTTAAAAAATACTACGGTAGCTGCCATAGAAATTGAATCACCTATGATATACCAAAAATTGTTTAGTAGATATGCAAAGCTATGATTGTAATTTGTAATGATGAATGATAACATATGTATTAGAAAGAAGAAAGCAAGAAGAGAAAACTGAAATTATTCAACTTATTACATATGATATAGTGAACTTAAGTGTTATTTTACACTACAGCTTCACCAATACTGTTAATAAGCACTGTAATGTCAAAACTTTTTAGACCTTACAGTGCTTATTAACAGACATTACATTATAGATGTCTCAGAATTATCTAACATATGGTGTCATATAAATGAAAAACGAAATTGAGGGTTGGTTGATGCCAGGTCTGGACTTTTAAATGGGCAAAACAAACAAATATATTAACAAAACCTGATTAATGTTAGCAAACTTCAAAATAAATAAATAGTTGACTACTTGTCAAAAAGAAATTTATTATTATTCTAAAGAACAACTATTTACTGTTGTAATAGTAACAAACATGAAATAAGTTAGAAAAAAAATGAGCTGTACAAGTTATAAAAGTTTCAAATGATTCTTTATGTAATCTAAATCAAAAACAGCAAGTATGTACAGTACAGAACTTCTGATCTCTGGGAACTTAAAATTAACTTAGAATTAATTTTATAACTATCTCCACCAAGAATCCAACAAATATGAAAATGGACTATTTACAAAAAAGGTCTTATGATCTAATTCACCTAACTGTAACTAATATGAAACTTCTAATCCACCAGATGCAATTCAAAAGCATTTCTTTTTCCTTTGTCTAAATCTCACTTGATCCTTAGTTTTTCCTTGTCAGTGCTCAGTTAGTCTCTTCTTATAGTGCTGGGGTGGTGACGCTACATGAATAGTCCTGCTCGACCCTGTTTTCATTCTTAGAGTTAACATTGTTATTTAAACTAATGTCAGACAAGTGTGAAAATGGACGGATACTGTTTTTTTTTTTTTTAATTAATGGATATTAAAATTATAGTGATGAAGTAAGTCACTGGTCAGATGGCACTATATTTCATGGAGCACATTAGTGGTCAGTTTTATTTTGGATGCATATACATTAACATGGATCTCACAGATTGTGATGGCTTGTTTTTTATTTAAGAACAGATGTATTTAAAAACAAGAAAAGAGACAAAGACAATATTGGGTATGTCCCTTTGATTGAAATTGGCCTTCTGTTTCTTATTTTTGTCTTTATAAAGTTTAAATTAAGTTTTTCTAATTCTGACCCCTCACTAATTTGTATGATCATTTTATTTATATCAATGTGCATTTTTTAAAATATGCAGGTACCGTATACCCTTTGACAGGAATGACCCATCACTTCCTCAAAACAATGTTACAAAGTTAGTCATTTTTCATGCTCTGATGATTGAAGGGTTTGAGTGTATCTCTCAGCGTGCAGCACACAATTTTCCATGAGATTATCATGGACAATCCAGCAAGCTGTCTGTGCAGTGCAGTGTCATTTCTTGTGTTTGTGTTTGTCTGACTGCTCCCATATGTTTTTGCAATCCTGTGACATCTATCAAAAATGATGGATGTGAAATCATGCTTGTTTGACATTAGCCTTACTTCTAGCAATTGTCTTTTACATGTCTTTTCCTCACCCTCACATAATTTTTGTTGTTTAATTAGTTCTGTATTTTGGTGACAGTTTTGGGTGGGAAATCATTCTTTTAACTTTTGTTGGAAGTCTCTCCCCGAGATGTCATTTCTGGGTTGATGATGCATTAGTTTCACTCTTGTCAGTCATTTTGGTAAGGTGAGTTTTGTTTTCACTTGAGAATTTGTTCTCAACTGAAAACAAAACTGGTGCGGTAGTCTATCTGTAATGAAATAAAAAGCCCCCCAAAAATTAATAAAAGTGAACTAAAAATAATCCCCAATCAAAATAAAATGGATCAGAATTGATTCCTTACAGCACTGTCTATGTATTGGGTTGGTCAATATGTCCATGTGTTTTTTTAGGTGAAAATAAACGACAGTTTTCTTTATAGAAAATAAAATTTGTATTCAATAATATATTCATTGTTTTTATCAAGTATATTTTGCATCTGTCAGGGAGCATCATAATACCTCATTTAAAAAACTTCCAGTTTTTGTTTGCCGAAAAACTGTTTGAAGTGCTGTTTTAAGTTGTCATTGAAAATGAACACTGTTCATTTAAAGAATTTTGAAGGGACTGAAACAAGTGGTAATTGGAAGGGGCATGGTTGGGTGAATATGGAGGATGAGGTACAACATTCCAACCAAGTTTTGAAAATTTTTGCTAGGTTTGCAATGACGCATGAAGCTGGGCATAATCATGGTGGAAGATTATACTCGTGTAATTCACCAATTCTGGATGTTTCTGAATCATTGCATTTAAATCAAATCCATCTAATAAACAAAGTGATAATTACAGATACATAGTACTAACCTTGTATAGTTTTGCAGTTACTACTTAAAAACATAACACAAATGTTTTTGACCTACTTCTAGGGTCTTCCTCAGGTGTTCTATAAGTTTTTCTGGTGTGATTCAATGGTTAAAAATCAGAATCGCACCAGAAAAACTTACAGAACACCTGCAGAAGACCCTAGAAGTGGGTCTTCCGCAGTATACATCAATTCTGATGTATACTGTGACCAGCTGGATGTATCATTACAAACTTTGTAATGATACATCCAGCTGGTCACAGTATACATCAGAATTGATCATTTTGTTATTCGGAAGCAGTCCATAAAACAAAACATCCTTCCAATCCCACCAAGTTGAGAGCATGACTTTGCTTGGATAAAATTCAGCTTTTGATGTGGTTTGTAGTGGTTCACTGCACTTCCTCCATAATCTTTTGTGATTGATTTTGACATAAACAATCCACTTTTCATTCCCTGTCACCATTTGCATCAGAAATAGTTTATTTTCCTCACATCTTTTTGAGAGAAATGCAAGTGATGTGATTGGCTTCACTTGCATTCATGTGGAACCCCAAACATCAAGCTTGCTGACACATTCAAGTTGATGTAGATGATTTTCCAAACTTGATTATGATATTTGAAGAATATCTGCTATCTGCTATGATGTATGGTGTGGATTACTGTCAATTAATTATTTTATTTTATTATCATCAATCTCATCAGCTGGAAGACCTGATCATGTTGCAACTTGAATGGAAAAAATCTTTGGAATGAAATCTTGCAAACCACTTCTGGCACATAAGGTTTTTTTTTTCCACAGCATTCTTACCATACACCTCACATATTTTTTTGCAGGTTTGCACCACATTTTTGTCTTTTGTAAAATAAAAAAGCATAAAAATGTTGAAAATACACATTTTTTTAATTCATTTTTTGAATACTGACAAACACACAAAACAAAACTAATTTTGAGCTTTATTTTTTTACAAGTGTTGCTGAAATATTACTTGTTGAGCAAATACAAATTTTTAAGGTTAAAACAATCAATACTAATAATTGCTTTTTCAGTGTATAACTCAAAAACTGCATGAACTTAATGGACAACCCAATGTATTTAAACAACTACACTAACCTGATTACATTAATTAAAACTATACAGTCTGCTGAATTATCAGGCTTTAATTTATAATTATATATAAATTTTACACAAAAATATATAATTTATAACAGCCTTATTAAAGATTAAGTTAACAATTTATACACTGGTGTGCAAAACTTAAGGACGGGATAGATAAAGTAACAGAAATGAACAACTTAATGGAAATGAATGAAAGTGCAGGAGCATCTTCCCAGAGGTCTCCCGGTTGTGCACAGAAAGCTTGTCGTCAAATGACATCAGGTCAGTGCGACTATAGTGCCAAATGCGGCTGGCCACACAACACGAGGCAGTTGAAGAAATGGTAAAAGACAGTGTGTGTCAATCAGTGAGCAGTTACAGTGCACTGTGGTAGTGTTCTTTATTACAACATGTTCCAGAGACAACATTTGGATGACTTCACACGGGGAAGAATCATTGGGAGACTGGAAGAAGGACGAAGTGTGATGAGTGTAGCCCAGGAGTTTGGTATTGCTCACAGCATTGTTTCATGTGCATGGGGAGTGTTCCAAACCACAGGCACTGCTGCCCAAAGGAGAGGAGGTGGTCGGCCACGATCAACTACAGCAGCAGATGACCGCTACATTGTGCAACAAACAATAAGAGACCCATGTCAATCAGCAGGTGCAATTGCAATCACATTTAACACGACTGCAAGGCACGCAATCTCACGCTCCACAGTGGCATGGTGACTGCATAGGGGTGGTCTCTTTGCCCGACGACCAGTA